AGGCTGGGGGGTTATTTCCCTGTTTTTGCTGCACCATATGGAATATTCTGTGCACATGGAGCAGCAAAAATGGAGAAATAACTCCTGCTCAGAATTGTTTGTGAATGGGAAAACGGCTTGGAGGGGAGGCAGGGGTCCTCCCTCCCCCTCACAGCAGTATTCTAAGTCTGTTTGGGTTCTCCTTTATGTTTTGAAAACCATTCCCCACAGCTGCTGTGCAGCTGCAGAGAATTCAAGTTGGGTCTGGGAAAGTGGACTCCATTCGTTAAACACCCAAACATGTAGTGGTCTTCAGCTGTCCACTGTTTTGGACACTGGAAAGGCCTAGAGAATGAAAACAACCAGGAAACCAGACAGCAAAAGGTACATCTGCCCTGTAGCCTCCAGCTATCCAAAGCCCGTACTTCTAAACGGCATTCTGGAACTAAATTTATATATGCATTTTCATAGCCCTTCACCTGGATACCATATAAATCCAAGAAGTTATATAATACCTTAATTGCAATAGCAAGCTTCATTTTGGCATTGTCTAGCTTTCTTCTTAGCTGCTCAATGTCATGCTGCAGAATTGTAATCTGGATAATTGCATTATTCTAGGAAATAAAAAAAAGTTTCATTCAGATCAGAATTATCACACATACAACAATTACTGCCTGTGCAAGCAGAATCCTTTATTTAGAGTGGGATTATTTCCTTTATCTCTCCAGATAAACCACTCTGCCATCTTCCTTCAAAAGCCAAGAAGTTTGGTGTAGCATGTCCTGAAATTAAGCCTTATGGTATAATGGTAGCAGCTGCAGACCAAGTAACAGTCTTTATTGTTTTACAGTCACTCTCCATATATTTAAAAACAAATATGGATAGTTTTGGGAAGGGTATTCTTAAACATATCTTTCCATGGTATAATGCAGCTTGATGTGTACTGCAGATAAAAAATGGAGTACACTTTTCCTGGAGCAAATATATTAAGAAGGCTAATACTATTAACATTAGAATTGCAGACGGAAGTGTATTACATAAGCAAGATTCTAGGCCCCTTCGCTGAACATGCAGCTTTCCTCTTAATCCTTTTTATGTACAGAAATTTAAGGGGAAATGTGCAAGCACTATCTGTCCAATTGCTTGATAATAAACAAATCTGGCAATTAATACAATTAATACAAAGGTATAACTAATAAACACTTGGTCCCTAATTTGTTCATATTAATAATATTCAGACCCAGCAACTGTATTACAAAACTGTACAGTGCTTAGCCTTTGGTTTATTATTTTCTATAATGCTTTAGGTGTCAAGTTTAGGACAAAGAATGTGGTGTGTGTGTGTGTGTGTGTGTGTGTGTGTGTGTGTGTGTGTGTGTGAGAGAGAGAGAGAGAGAGAGAGAGAGAGACAGACAGACCCTAGGGGGCTCTTGGGATATTTTTATGGCTTGTTTTAATACTGATTATTTTAGGGGTGATATTTTTATGATTTTGTTTATTTTTCCTTTAAGAGCTACCTCAAGCAGATCTCTGGAGAGACAGCATATAAATATTCTAAATTAATAAACAATACCCACATATATGTGTGCTGGTTACATACTGAAATAAACTCTAACTCAACTCAACACACATATGTATCTTGAGTTCTGCTAATGCTTAGAATTGCTCCAGAGCTACCATTATAGGCACAAAACCTATACATTCTATTTCTCTGTGTATACTAGAAAAGGAATATTTGATACAACTTATGAACATGTTGCAATCAGAAGAAAGATCATTGGGTGCATTCGGATATTACAAGAAACCTGTTTGTCCCTGAAGTGTATGAACATGGCTTGTTGTACTCCTATTACCCTTTCCATTTCCCCTTTCCTCTCATGCACAGAGCATGACTTTATAGCTTCTTGGTATAGGAAGCCTTCAATAAAACTCCAATTTGCCTCTAAGTCTGAATGCAGACCTCTGGGTCAATAAGAATTTGTTCCTTCCGACAAACTGGTTTAAGCCCCCTTTAGAATCCTTGTTTGATGGGGGTGGGTGGGGAAGAATCCAATTTTTGCCCAGGTAACTGCATTCAAATGTCTCACCAAACTGTTCTTTGATTGCAGACTTTTTAGCTTTCAGTTAACATTCTGCTCAAGAGGGAATAATTGCACAAGCATGAAAACAAGCTGTGTCTGTGCACAACATGGACAAATAGCTCTAGATTTTCCAGTGGCAGAATGGAACTTTCCTGCCTTCTCCCTCTCACTGCAGCCCACTGATCTCCACAAAATGCCGCTCCAGGGGGATAGGGGACCATGAGGAATGTCATGAAGGAGGTCTGCAGCAGGAAGAGATAATAAATGGAATCTGCCAATATAGTCTGGATCCAGCCCAGCAGTTTATTGTGGTATGTCTACCCTCATTATGTGTCAGATGTGAGTTGCGGGCTCCCCTCAATTCCTGCACAAGTAATGGCCACATAGGACCAGGACCATGATACACATGGAGAAAAGGCTTTGACTTTTCCGTATGGCATTTTTCCAACTTGAAAGAGTTCCAGGCAGTGTTCCCTCTAAGCTGAGTTAGTGTGAGCTAGCTCAGTTTTTTAGCTTCCGGCTCACACAGTTTTGTCTTAGCTCAGGGAAGGATGGCTCTAATGTATACAGTAGCCAAATTGCTCACTCAGAACTTTAATGCCAGTAGCTCACAAAGTTGAATTTTTGCTCACAAGACTCCACAGCTTAGAGGGAGCATTGGTTCTCAGTGTGTTATTTGGAGAAAACCACATGTTCCCTGGGTTTCCCCAACAGACTCAATATTAACCTTCTGAAACATTTTCAGACTGAAAACATGGTGCAAGAGGAAAGGCTGAAGTCCTTGTCCACATGCAACACAGTCCTGTTCCTAACCAGGCACTGCACACACAAGAACTGAGGAGCATCTGCAATTCATGTGTAATTGTGTTCTCTGGCAGAGGGTGGGGACCACAGACACAACCTGTGTACTCCATATAGTGTGAAGAGGGCACTGTCATTAAATGTGACCATTAATGATTTATAACAGGAGAATATGAAATTGTGGTTTCATAGCACAATAACTTGGAAAATGTGAACAGGAAAATGCTGGCTAGTTGAGAAAAGGCTGAGACACAAAACAGACTTCTTTAGGTTCTCAGACTAATTTGGCAAGATTACCTTAATATCTGGAGGGCATGATTCACATGGGAAGGCTTTAATTAATTTAAAACTGTATTTCTCATGAGTCTAATTGTTCAGCCAAGAGGAAGGGAACTTGATACTTAGAGTAATATAAATTTGAATTAGAGTTAGATCAAGCTAGCAACCTGCCAACTCAAAATGAGAGAAAAGGGCCTGCAGAGAGTTTCTGTCATTTTGTTTGCAAAGCTGCTTTGTTTTGGCAATGTTTCTCTTTCATATACACATAACAATGCTTCTTTAGCCTCCTAAAGTGAAAGCACCATTAGGATAAAAAAATATAATGATGGTATTATATATAATGTGGAATAGTATGGCATGGCCCAATCTTATCAGGTCTCAGAAGCTAAGTAAGGTCAGGGCTTGAAAGGGGTACCACCAAGGAAGATTCTTGAGAGAAGGCAATGCCAAACCACTTCTCCTTCTCACTCACACTAGTTTGGTGTAGTGGTTAAGTGTTTGGACTCTAATCTGAGAGAACTGGATTTGATCCCCCACTCCTCCACTTGCAGCTGCTGGATGACCTTGGGCAAGCCATAGTTTTGTCAGAGCTGTTCCCTCAAGGACAGTTCTCTCAGAGCTCTCTCAGCCCCAACTACCTCACAGGGTGTCTGTTGTGGGGAGGGGAAAGGAAAGGAGTTTGTAAGCTGCTCTGAGACTCCGAGTGAAGGGTGGGGTATAAATCCAATATCTTCTTCTTCCTCCTCCTCTTCCTCCTCCAAAGCTCCTTGCTGGGGCATACGGTTGCCAGGTCCACTCCAGGATCTTCTGCTGTGCATGCTTTGCATGCAGGGCATGATGACAATACCCAGAAGTGACATCATCATGACACCAATGTCAGGGAGTGACACTCTAGTTTTGGGGCAAAACTCTATGGTTTGTAGCCAATTTTATCATAGAGTTTTGTCTAAAAATTAGAACGTCGCCACGTGATGTCAGCAATGTGATGATGTCACTTCAGTGTGATGTCATCACTTCACCTTTGGGGCCTGTAGGGGGTGGGATTTCCCCTCACTGGCCAGCTGGCCGGTGGTGGGGAAGCACCCCACAAAAATGGGATTCTCCCACCCTTGGCAGGGGTCTGGCAACCCTACTGGGGCACCATAAATCAGTTGCAACTTGATGGCACACAGTATACAATATTATTTTTGAATAGCCTAATACTATGCATGTTTATTTTAAATTAAGTTCCTCTGATTTTGAGTATAGTTTATTCCTAGATATTTATGTATTTAATTTATTGATAAGCCTGTTTCTGCTAGACAACAGGACTCTAAGGTGGGTGGTAACAGAAAAAACTAAATAAACATAAGATATTTAAAAAAGCACGTCATGGTGGTGATTGATGAAGGCATCGTGGTGGCCACAAGGATGCCACCATGTCTAATTTGGCCCTTAGATGTTACTACTGCTGGAGCTCCAACTGCTGTTTTTTTAAGTCTTCATAAGGTTACCTGGGAAATAGCCCCTTTCCCAGCAATCAAAGTCATGTAACAAGTTTTTCTACTTAGAGGCAGGCTTCTCATCCAGTCACCTGGACAGTTTGCAGTTCTCAGTTATTCCTGGTATCATTGGTGACCGATGACACTAGAGGAACACAGACATAAACATCTTCTTCCACAGTGAAAGCCTAAGAACAATTTTCTGGGAGTAAGCCAACTTGAATAAAATGGGACTTACTTCTGAGTAGACCCAGTTAGGATTACTTATATACTTAGATATAAGCAAGTGTTCATTACATTGAAGCCTAAGACTTTCTCCCACCATAATTTTGAATGCCCTTTCTTTACAATAATTATGATTTATGGCTGTAATCCAGAAACCGCTAAATCTACAAAAGTCCTGTTGCTTTAGCAAACCTACTCTGGAATAAGGAATAATAGAGCAGTAGCCAAAAATGACAGAAATCAAACCTATACATAATATTTCATTGATATGGTAGGTACTTTATTCTTATTGTAGCATAAAACCAGGTGTGTGACCTTAAATTGATTTCTACTCTACAGTATACCCAATTATAGTAAAACATGATTTTCCATTAGCTGCACCTGTGCACAGCTACTGAAAGAAAGCCAACAGAGGCACTATGCAGCTGTCTAGTAAGGTACATATTCAGGGTCATTTGTCTAATAATAAACACATCTGCACTTTAAGGTCAGATCAACAAGTTCAGTACATTTTAATCACAATTTATCTTCATTTATATTTCTTCTACTTTTTTTCTGCTTCCATTATTCCTGTTACAATCATTGCCATTTTAGTGGTCATCTCACAACTAATTGTCATTCTTGTCTCGTTCAGGCTTTTTGCTAAATACCTTATCAATAAAGGAAGTTACTTCCACCTAAGTGTACATTTAACCCTCCAATCTGAAAGTTATATGGAAAGCCAGCATGGTGTAGTATTTAAGGGCAGCGGACTCTAATCTGAAGAACCAGGTTTGATTCTTCACTCCCCAATATGAACCCTGCTGGGTGACCTTGGGCCAGTCACAGTTCTCTCAAAACTCTCTAAGCCCCATCTATCTCACAAAGTGACTGATGTGGGGAGAGGAACGGAAGGAGATTGCAAACTGCTTTGAGACTCCTACTCTTCTTCTTCTTCTCTTCATATGCATGGACATTTTGGCATACAAAAAGGGAATGCAGAAGAGCAACCAACTATTTTGAGTTTTCTAGATTAATACCCTCAGTCAGGGACCTGAACCTTTAAGATATAAACATTCCTTTAAAAATACCAGCTCAATAAAAATGAGACAAACTGTAATAATGAAAAACTTTTTGAATATATACAGAGGCTCCCTCTTATGCTTGTACTTTAAAATGTAAAACATCCATATGAAGATTCCATGGGCAAACAAACCAAAACTGAACAGGCAACATTACCTTTGTTAAATTATTCCCTCTTTTCTGGACATGCCTAGCTTGTAGCTTCATCAATACTTTCTGGTAGTGAAGCTCCAAATTTTCCCGCAGTTTGTTTAAATCTTCCTCCAAGGAAGCTGTGACTTTCTTAGTTTCAAAATATTTTTTCTTCCATATGTCACGAGCTGTGAAACAACCCAAATTAATATACTAAAAATAAAAGTAAAAGAGCCAGTTTGGTGTAGTAGTTAAGTGTGCGGACTCTAATCTGGGAGAACCGGGTTTGATTCCCCACTCCTCCACTTGCACCTGCTGATTTGACCTTGGGTCAGTCACAAGCTCTGGCACAGCTGTCCTTGAAAAAGAGCAGTTTGTGTTAGAGTTCTCTCAGCCCCACCCACCTCACAGGGTGTCTGTTGTGGGGAGGGGAAGGGAAAGGAGTTTGTAAGCTGCTCTGAGACACCTTTGGGTAGTGAAGGGCGGGGTATAAATCCAATCTCTTCTTCTCTGTATTTGCAAATATTTCTTTGTATTTACACATCTGAAGTATTAAATTCCATGTATAAATATCAGTCACTATGTAGCCACTATCAAGGCTTTCACAATAAAATATAAGAGAGTCAGCTGAACTCCATCATATGAAAGGTCTAGACGCTATGGTTTCTGGCAGCTGTAAGACTCCCCCCCCCCCC